CCAAAACTTTTTATAATTAAGCAATTTAGTCCACATGTTTCAACTCTTTTCAAAATCAGTCCTTCATGTTTTGAATTTGATCAAATCGGTCCTTCATATTTTGAATTTAACCAAATCAGTCCTTCATGTTTTGAATTTAATCAAATTAGTCCTTTAATTTTTTATTTATGCCCACTTCGCATGCATGTTCTTGAATTTGTCCATTTTAGTCCAAAAACCTAAAAAATGTTTCAATTTGGTTTATCTTTTTTTTTAAGCTTTCTTATTAAGACTTAAGTAAATAAATATGATTAATAAGTTGAATCAAAACCCCAATTTTAAAGTATGCAACCGTGTTTAAACGGAGGATTGTGAGGTGCGCGTATGCCCTTCCTCACTCCTAACCGAACCCCCGAACCCCGATTTCTGCACAGACCTGTTTTAGGTGACTTGTCCCACCTTATAATTTGGACGAGTGGCGACTCCCTTTTCTTTTTTATATTTTCACACTTAATCCCAAATCTTAAGTGGTCGTCAACAGATTGGCGACTCCACTGGGGAATGAACCTAGAATCTCTGGTTTCCATATTCTAGGTTCACGAGGGTCGAGCTAATACTTTAACTTTGGGGAATTTTCAACTTTTGATTTTTCTTTGTTTGTTGAGTCTTTTGTGGGTCTTTGTTATTTATTGCATGTGCTTGTTGCATGTTGCTTCTTGTTGGTTGCTTATTACGTGTTTGCTCATTGTTTTAATGGTTGCTTTGATCATTTTTGTCTTGGAGTGATTATCTTGTCATATTATGACATGCATCATACTTTGCTAACATGTTCATGCATCATATCATCTCACATGCTCATGCATTATTGATATTATATGCTTAATCATCGTGCATCATGCTTACATGCCTATTTGCTTGTGTGTGGATATACTCACCTTTTGCACTTGGTTATGGAGTACTCAGTGAGCCTCTTCCCTCTTGTGCGATTATTTGTATTTTGTTGCATGCTAAGTGTTGGTTGCTTTGTGTTACTAACCTTTTGCATTTGGCATGGGAGTACTAGGTGAGTCCCTTCCTGCTGTGTAAATAGGTGTGTTTGTGGATGCTATATTTGTTAAGTGCTTTACATGCTTTATTTGATTGCCGTGGGATATATGTTGCTATTTTTGTGGTTGCCATTATGCAGGTTATTGAAGTGTCATGCCCCTTGCACACACTCACTCTCATTTTGCATTAGGTTCGTGTCGAAGGTGAACCCGACCTCTAGTCTGGAATCCTTACGAATCTGGCTTGGAAGAGCAATTCTTCCCGCTTTGAGGAGTAAGATCGGTTCCCATTAGGTTGTTTCCATTGGTTAATACGACACCTGATGATGTAATATCATTTTGTGTATTAGCTTTTGAAAATATCTCCCGTTGATTCCGAAAGGATAAATGGTTGAGAAGGCCTAATGCTCTTTAGGAAAACATGTAGTGGCCTTAAAGAGATACCAACCCTAGGACATGTTTCCTTAGCATCTTACCCATGAGGTTAGGAATCCCGTGTCTAAGACACAAAGGGGCATTTTACTTCACTAACCTTGTCTCTGCATATGACAGGTTTTCATTTTTATAGACATTTGAGGTATGATTAGTTATTCATCTTTTGCATTTAGACATCATTCTTGAGGTAAGGAGCATTCCATGCACTTCGTATCTTCATTTTCAACCCCAT